GATCAGCATTTTGACAACGACTTGAGGTACCGGTACACAATTGCCCAAAGCCTTAAGTAGTTTTTTTTTGGGTTTTTGTTTTACAAGAAAATAGGTAGGCTACCTAATTTGCTTAAGAGTGTCATAAGGGAAGTTTTAGAATGCATCCTCAAAAACTGCCTGATATTTGTAGAAAATGAAGACGAGCAATAAACTACTTCTGGCGATGTTTTGAGATCTAAGCCTGATTGAATGTAGAACACTTGCTTGAAAACAATGCTTTTCAAGTGTTAAATGTACAAAATTTAAGAAAACAGACCTTAAGGTAGGCCTATGGTTAAACTATAGGTACCGGGTACGTGAAATTCTCCCAAAGCAAGTATTTAAAAAATTTAATCTGCTAATTATATGGATTCATGCAGGATTATTTCTGCCTGAAAAGCTAAATCTAGCCGGATTGAGAAAATTTCAATTGGTCGGGTTCAACCAGAACTGTTGGTTTACCAGATGACAGCAAGTAAACATAGAAAAACTACCGATACAAAGGATAATATGTAGGCCTACCTATGTAATTTTCGCTTATGTCACTTTTAATAGAGATTGATAGCTCTGAGACAAACTGATAAGTTAAATTGATGAAATTAATTTATTTAAGTTTTAAACATTTACATATAGTTCTAATTTAAGCTATTGCTTTATTAAAAACCATAAAACGGGACCGTTCCACTCAACTGGCTTTCGCTGGCGATGAAAGCAATCCTAGTAGGCCTACAGTAGGCTAAACCTCTGATAGTTCGACACTCGATAGTTTGACACTCCTTGTAGTTCGACACGGGTTATTTTGTCAAGTGATATTTAATGGTTAGGCTACTATTGTGATGTAAGATGACTTGAACATTAATTTGTCATTAATTGTTGACTTGAGATTAATGAACAGTAAAACTGTTAAGCTTTTAAGTAGGCTATTTAATAAATTTGGGTGGTTTCTACATAGGCCTAAAACTTGTGTTTTTACTTTCCTGTACGGTATATTAAACTCCATTTACTCCCTATAGTTCGACATTTCGATAGTTCGACACCCCTTAAGTCACAAAGTGTCGAACTATCGAGGTTCTACTAACTTATATTTATACGAGTCATGAAGATAAATAACTAAATTTGAACGATCATAAATAAATTGTTAAAGAGGGCCCATTCAAAGTTTTAAAAAACATAACTTAACCTAAAAATGAAATGGCAAATAACAAAAACTTAAAAAATCAAGTTCACAGCCCGGAGTGGTGACTAGACTTTTTTAGGTCGGCCTTTGACTATCTTCTGGGGATGTATAGGCAATGGAACGTTCTGAATTTACAGTAAGTTAATTGAGATCAAGCAGCCGATACGACTTCAGTTTCAATTGTATCGATTACAAGCAAACTTTTATGGGACACAAATAAATTATGTAGGCCTACATAGGAATGCAATAGTACAAGTTGAAGGGGACCCATTAAGATTGAGATTTTATGACCCCTAACTTCAATCAATGAGCGAATGAAATTACTGAAAACAGACTTTTGAACAAGTTATCGGTCTTATTACATTGCGTGGTAAGTTGAATGAAATTGAGTTGTATTTAGATAAGACGAATCACTAACTAAATTCATAGTAAAGCAATTTAAAGCTTATCGGTATGTAAGTTAGGCCTAATAGGACTTTCCCTGATCCAATCCCAAATTTCCTGATATAAGTTATCTAGATGATATTTCCCGTTTTCCCGGTGAGTCGCCACCCTGATACAAGCTTAAAACTTATGGTACAACCACGCAACCATATATAATTAAATGAATCCTCTTTTTCTTAGTACTTCTCTGTGGTAACACCGTGTAGAGTTTAGCGTAGGCCTAAGTACTTAACTTAGGCTATTGTTCCCATCGCCGTGAGCGGGAGTGGAAATGCCAAGATTCCTAGAAAGCGGCGGTTATGATAAGTTTACTTAAACCGCTTCCAAAACAAGGTTGGTAAACAAACTGTTATATTTATGAGCGAAGGCAGATAAGTAGGCCTAGGCCTAATCCAATTATCAATTAGGCTACCATGATGTGAGGAGGGGGCATACTGTACCATGATAAACAATCACTTATGCCGAGGAAGAAAAATAACTTCAATGTGATATGTAGGCCTACAGTTTAAGTTGCACAATCTCTTAACCGACCATTAAATTATGAAACCGGACCTAAGTAGGTCAGTTTTAACCTAAATAAGCAGGCAAAATGTCCAACTAGGTGAGCAAAGCAATTGTTCATGGCATTGACTGTATACCAATTTAATGCACTTTTATGGACCGATCTAAGTTAGGCTATACCCTTCTTTTAACCTAAAATACTAAGAAGCTTCAATAAACCATGCATTAACAACACTCCATGGCCTATAAGAACAGTTTTGAAATCATTGAAATGAAATTATGTTTATTCGTCTAGGCCTAGCCTATAGACATTAAGTTAGGCCTAGCCTAAGTTATATTCGTTTAAACCAGTTCATTTTTACAATAAGTTAACATTCACTTATATCACAGGGATAGGCCTTAGGGAAGTGTGGCCTAGGGTCCTATCATAGGCTAGGTAGCCTAAGTTAAAAGTTAAAAATGATGAATTAGCCTGTGTTACTAGCCTAGCCTATAGAGCCTACCTTTTTTCATTTGACATTTCCTAAAAACACATACCTACCTACATAAACCAAATTATGGTATGTTTTTTATGGTAATCTATGTCTCTCTGAAAGAGGCCTAGCCCAAACATTAAGAAAATCATCTTACTTACTCTTCACTAAATCCATTGACGTGCAATATCCTCATCTGCTTGACGATTGTGCTTTTACCTGACTCCCCAGCACCTTCACAAACACACACAAAACCCTGAATTAGATACAAAATATGAGCAAAATAAAAGATAAATAAACACTGGTTGAGCCTATCGACTCAATATGGCTGACAGATAAGACACTATTCATGGGAAGGGCTACCGGAGTATGAAATTTACCTAATAATAAGAGTCTGTGCGTTGCTCTGTACACTTGCTTATCCTTTTGTAATTGTTGATTTATCTTTTTGTTCGTTTCCTTTCCTTTTTTAGTTTCTTCTTGGTCCGCTTTTGAGCTCGCACTTCCGAAGCACCCCATGACATTAGGCCAGTTTATTATGGTAGGCAGGCAGCACAATTGAGACTCGCGCTGCCTTTCGTTTACTGCAAAATTACCTATTTTGCAGGGGTTTCAACTCACGCACTGCACTGCACAACTAACTAAACACATCGCACCACTTAACTAAAAGAAAAATAACGTAAAATCGACCGGTTATCCTAAGTTCAATCATTTGCAAAAAAATTATACCCCGCACGAAAAGGGCTGCACTTCACCACTGCCAGTAGATAGGTGTGAACGCACAGCATTGTGGGTAGAGCCACTGCTATGCATTCTGTATTTAGTTTAGCAGACAACACAACTTAAAACGCTCATTAAAACCTCACACACGTATCATATACCGCACAATTTTAAGCTCCTACCGGAATACTAATAGCACGTTACTTGCTACCGGACACAACTTAAATTTTAAATCATCGTTTTGAGATTGAGAGTTATCTAACGTCTAGTTGGGGTTAGTGTCGTCTGCAATCAGTTTTGGCTTTTGAAGGCTGTGGACGATTCTTCGTTATGATTGGCTGAAGGATATTAGTGCAAATTTCACAGTGATTCATATCGACGCCAAGAGAGAACAGCACATACCAGCTCAGCCCTAATAGGGGCGCTATAATTTCATAGATTCATGTCAAGTTCACTGACAACTTGTATAATTTAATTCAATTTCCCGCCGTTTTTCCCAATTGCAAGTTTGTTGAATTAAATTTGAAGTTTCCAGGTCAATTAATGATCGTGTTTTATGTTATTTATTATTCTATGTGTAGATAGCTCTATTTTATACAGTATAATGTTCACACATATCTTAAATTAAATGAATGTGGTTAATTTTTAAATAAAAGGTATATCGGGTTACAAAGAGAAACTATAAACAATACGGCACAATATGCATCCATAACAAGCATTCGAAAAACTAAAATATTAAAATTAAATATGTACAGCCTTTTTTGCTCAAAATGCTTTACAAAACACTATTTATATTCTTAAAAGGTGGTATTTTTTAATAAGATTTCTTAGTATTCAAAAAGCAGTGATAAGACGATAAATTAAGAAGGTCCATGAAGGTGCCACACAAGCTGGGGAAATGCATAGGCAGGGTGACACAAACATCTAAGTATAGGTACTCAATAACACATATAGACAACAAGACATCATAGGACGTGATCTAATAAAAAAAATCCATTTAAAAATGGACCAACTCGTTCTACTGGGAGTCCAAAGGCAAATTTTGTTAATATAAGATCAAATTTATAAAAAAACTTTAAAACACTGTATACAACATCAAACAATATTTAATTTGATTATACATGTATAAAATTTGGAACGGATGGTGTTTTTGTTAACTTATCCTCCACGAGGGTAAAATGAGAATTTTAAATTTACAATATTTGGGAATTTCCTCCGTAACTATTAGGCGCATAGTAACGCTTCCCCAATATACTTAATTATTTGTTTTTTAAGATATACAAAATGGTTTGAAAAAGGATTTGTTTTGTACCTAATTTGGTTGTTTATTGATATAGTTGTGCAAACATTCCTATATTTTGATAGTATTTTTTTTAACATTTATCAAAATAACAACTATGCATAGTGTGAGTGTGCATAATTATCCATAAAACATTTTGTGGAGTAAATGCGCTCGGACTTCCATGAAATTAAAAATAATATCGAGTGAAAAGAGCACAAAAGTCTTAAATATATTTAAACAAATTGGTAGTCTCCATAGTGGCGGGAAATCATTGGTTGAATGCTTCTATTGGCTACACTGGAGAAAGTATTTTGTTTATCGATGAAGATGCTCAATCTGCTCTTCTGCTGTTCAGTTTTCTGTTTTCAGTCAGTACAGTACTCCAGATTCCAGACACTACAGACAGTACTTTCACTCTCAGTCAAGTCAACGTCAACCTCGTCATCACCAAACAAAATAAATGTCTAAACTTTAAAGTGTTAGACACTAAACACACATAAAGATACCTAAAGCCTTATTCTCAAAAGACGCAATTAAAACAATCTAGGATCCTCTTTTAGAAGATTTTCTTCACTTACAATAGTGAATAGCCGAGTCCTAACCCAAGTAAGTTTAATAGTAAATCACTCACTGTTCTTACAGATTTAAAAATAGGCCTAAATTAACTTAGTCACTGATCTTTTATTTCCGTATTAGTTATTTTAAACTTAACTCTTTTTGGTTATTTTATTTTATTTTAACATTTCAATGCTAAGGTTGTAAAGTCACCACCCAAAGAAGGACTCTAGTGCGGCCTTGACTAGGCCCATTTAAAAAAATATAATTAAGTTAGTCTACTATGACAAAAACGGGCACATAACCTAAAAATTATCCATCAACATTGCCATCCTGAAGAAAGTTACTAAGCATTTATTTATGCTTATTTTGAATAACAATACAGTAGGGTAAACATTGACTCAATGAGTTTGTGGGTTCGCTGTTACAATAACTTACTAGAAACATTGACATTGTTTTGACAAATGTTTGTAAAACCCTGCAGTTAACTTATCTTATTCTAAATAACTTGCAATAAGTAGGCTTACTATCAATCATTTTATTGTACTAGTCGGCAGAAAGTCTTGATCATAAGTTTACAAATATCAAAATGGAGCTGTCCGTTGGAATGTAAAATAAAATTTACAGGATACAATTAAGTCACACACAGTGTTCCGGTGTTCCTCAGCGCTCTCGGCTCGGTCCACTACTTTTTAATATATTTATAAATGACATAATCAATTGGTGTACTGACGTCAGACTGCTTGATGTTTGCTGATGACCTCAAGATATTTTCCCGGATCTCCTCATCCTTAGACCACGAACATCTCCAACGATCTCTCACCAACGTCGAGACGTGGTGCTATGAAAATGCAATGGAACTCAATGTCTTTTGACTACAAAATTGGTGGTGATATTCGGAGACGTGAAGACCGTGTGAGGGATCTTGGTGTAATACTTACTTCTACCTTGAGTCCTGCTGAGCATATAATTCATATTGTCGCAAGAGCCAATTCCATCTTTGGATTCATGCTTACATCATCAAGAGACTGCAAGTCCCCACAGTCACTTCTGGTGTTACATAAGGCCCTAGTTCAACCAGTTTTGGAGTATGGCTCAATTATCTGGTCACCATATCAGCTTGGCCATATTGAAATGATAAATAAAGTACAGTTACGCTTCCTCCGAGTCTTAGGTGTCCGCCTGGGCTATGAGTATCGTGCCCCACCAATCTTAGAGCTCCAGGAGTGCTTCAACGTCCAACCTCTCCATCTCAGAAGAAAGCTGCAAGACATGCTTTTCTTGTTCAAACTGGTTCGTGGTGAGATCGATTCTACCGGCCTACTGGAGGGAATTAATTTCCTTATACTGAGAGGAACACGATCTTCAGATACTTTTGCTCACTTGTATTCACCAACTAACTACTCTCTCAATTGTGGATTGGCAAGATTGCAGCGTCTTGGAAACAAAGTCGGATCACAAGTCGACTTCTTCAACGAACAGTTGTCCTCCTTCAGAAGAAAAACCTCTAACATTATCTTTGCTATGCCTGTTTTGTAGATGATGCATGTTTGTTTTGTCCCAAAATCTGTTTAATTCTTGTTATTCATTCATATATTTATTGTTGTTAATGTTTCACGTAGAAGTTATTGTCATCATAGTTTATAATACATTGTTAAATCTTCAGGAGATATCTGTTATTGCTATACTTTCAAAGTCCACATGCATTTTCTGAAATCCAAATTAGCCTAATATTACTCTAAATATTTTTTTGTTGTTATCTGTTATGTTGTCTGTTTGTTGTTATTATACTTTGTTAATGTTATTATCTGTTATTGTTGTTACGTTGCTATCTTGTTGTTAGGCCTATTATTTTTTGTTGCAATGCTGTTTTGTTCAATGGTAGGCCAATATAACTTATGCAGCTTCTAACTCTTGTTATTTCAAATGCAATTTTTATCTTTCCATTCTACTCATGTGCTTAAATATATATTATTTTGTAAATGGTGTATCCGTTGGAATGAATAAATCAACACAGTTACCTGATCAGTTACCCCATATTTATTTTATTCGGATCTAACTTAATTATATCCTAGGCCCTAGGACTAGGTCTTTAAGTATAATAGGCTAACTAACTTAAAGTACAGTAAGTTAGTTAAAACATTTTATTATTCATGCAATTTTGTTAATAGCTTTTGTGATTTTCCAGAATGCTGTTTCTCTTAACAATACTTTCCTCTGGTCGGCAGACATCAGGAAATGTGACTTTTAGAAAGGGGTTGAGAGAACTTCAAAAACTTTATCAACATACATCAACAGTGCCGATAAACAAGACATTTAGGGATGGTAGATTCAGTAAACATGTCAAATTTGACCAGCCAGTATACAAGTACGCAGCTCTGCATGGTGAAAAAAGTGCACTTCGGGACAAACATGGCGAGTACTCATACTCTGGACTTTTAGATTCAAGTACAAAATTTGCAGAGGTCATACGTAATGCTGTTGAAGGGAAGAGTGACGAAAGAGTGGTGTTTTTGTGTCCAAATGACGCTAGCTACGTAGTCACTCAGTGGGCTTGTTGGATCGGTGGACAGACTGGTAAGATTCTTTGCGTTAATTGCTTGTAAAAATGTTATCAAATATGTTCATAAACAAGCAAATTACAACAGTTTACTTATTTGTCACAAGGATAACTTTAAATTTTTTTGGAATTTTCTCTGTAACCATTAGGCGCATAGTAACACTTAAATATAGGCTACTAAATTATTTTTAAGCTCTAAGTTACAAAATAGATTTAAAAGATATTGCAAAGTTTGATGTTTTTAGGGTAAAAAAACTGAATAAAAACCCCCATAAACCCCCGTTCCCATTGTCCGATAATGCTGGTTCGTAACTCGTTCTAATAATTGTTGACGTAGGTTTATATTATAGAAAATTTCATTAAAATCGGATAATTTTTGCTCGAGTTATCGTGCTAACACACACACACACATATATATATATATATATATATATATAAACACCATCCTTTTGAATTCATACGTACGGTATAATATACGTACCGTATATTGGCCTCTAGGGACCTCAAAACGAAAAAGTAAATCGGTCCCGGGTCTAGGACTTACCATGAGTACTACAGTAATAGCTTATTCCCTATATGGGAAATTCTGTAAAAGAACTAAATATAGACCGACAATAGTGCTGTGGTTAGCATATGTTCTGTCGTCCACCGCTAGGAGTGTTGTGTAGTCACGGAGCACACCGCTGCAGCGTCTGCTGGTAGCAGACGACTGCAGCGAATCGAACACCAAGCACGCTCTAACGTCATATCGCGGAACCTTCCTTTTTACCGTCTATATTTATTCTATTATTTATATATATTTATATAGGCCTAAGTTATTTGTCTATGGCTAAGCCCTACCTATGTACCGTACATAAATACTGTCACACAATGGACTAGTTGCTACTAACTTAAGTCAAAATATCCCTAAGGCCTAGGTAAATTAAATTAATTGCTGTGTTAAGTCTACAATCTGTAAATTTAGAGTCTTACTGTTCAACACTGAAAATAAGATATTTGTAAAATTTTTGTCATAATATGAATAGTCAAGAATAGAATAGTCAAGAATAGTCATTTATTCAGTCTTTAAACAATACATTATTGTAATTGACATCGTCATTATTATTGTAAAGATATAAGATGCAATACTTATAATTAAAAAATTTGACATGAAAATTCCAAAATATAGGTTGCCCTTAGTTTAACATTTAACAGGTTTAAAATATTTAAAAAAAAAAATAGGCAAACATAACAAACTTAAATTATGAAAAATAGTGAATAATAGTGGGTCTTTCTTAAAAAGGCTAATGGTTATCACAGATGTAACAATGAACATAGAGGGACAAAATTTCTAACATTATCACAGATGGAATATGGTAAAAAAACGTATCAAAATAGTGAACATGAAATATATGAAAATTAATTACAGTAAAAAATCCTAGCCTAACTTAAAAACAAAATTTCTAACAATATCACAGATGGAATATGGTAAAAAACATACTATCAAAATAGTGAACATGAAATATATGAAAATTAGTTACAGTAATAAAAATCCTAGCCTAACTTAAAAACATTTAACATTAGCAAAAAATGAGATCACATTCAAAAAATTCCTCAATTTTGTAAAATGGGTGAGATGAAAGCCACATAGTTAATTTTCTTTTAAAGACACTTAGCGGCAAGGACTTGACTTGGGGATGAAGCTTATTAAATAATTTAATACCTAAAACGAAATGACTGTTTGCAGTTTTCTGTAGCCTACAGTGAGGTACATCAACTAGACCCCTATTCCTTGTGTTATAACCATGAATGTCTTGGCGCAAATCATACTCTTTTTCCTTTTTCTTAACATTAATCAGACAATGCAGGATAAAAACATTAATGACAGTTAATACACCAGTGCCCACAAATAACGGTTTACAATGTGCTCTTCGGCGAGATCTAGTTATGATTCTCACAGCCTTCTTTTGAATTAACAATACATTATTTACATACATGCATAGCCTATTGGCTAACTTATTCACCAGAGCTATTCCTAACAGATTCAGCTTCGGTATAACAATAGATAAAACATACTCCCTTAGTAGATTTCTCATCCTTATGGAGCGCAGCTGAAGACAATTTTATGGTTAGTTCTGTACGGTTTATGTAGAGGTCGTGTTTTGTTTACAATTCAATTCTCGTTATTTACAGTCATTTAAAACCTCTTTTAGCCAAATAATACGATCTAATCATAAACAATAACTTATCCCCTATTTATATAACCAAATAGTAAAGCACAAATCAAGAAATTAACCCTAAAATAATAGAAACAAAATGTTGTCAACACTAGCGCCCAGTGTCACCGTACATGAACTAGACACGAAAAACGTACTTCAAAATTTACAATGGGATGAGAAGTCTACTTGTGTTGGTTAGTCTATGGTATAACTTGAGTAGAATACTGTGCAGTTGCTTAGGCGTACTTATGAATTTCTGGGTGAACTTTTATACATCTGACTTCATCGTAGACAATGGCAAGTTATTCTCATTACTTATTACTTAAGCCGGGTTTTTCTAGGTGCTGAACGCAGAGAGCGGACTCCTCTTGTCTTAGGTAATTGAATGTTATTTTTTTCCTAGAAGTGGAGCGGAACGCCATGTTAATCGCTCTTCCACGCAGGAAAACCCAGCTTTAGTGACCAGTTGTGATGGTTGTTATTCATATAAATTTTGCCAATGTTTGCTTTTTGTTTCCAGCTGTGCCTTTAAGTAGACATTTTCCTCCTCCAATGATGGAGTATTTTGTCAATGACTGTGACGCTAAACTGATCGTCACTACACCTCAGTATTCCAAAACTATGACCCAGTTAGCAGAGAAAACGAATAAGCGTCTAGTTGTCTTAGACGATGTCTTTAGGTAAGGGAGTAGTCTATGTGTAGTAAGACTTCTACAGGTATACTCGGTAATTATTTTATTTACTTTATCAACTTTGGAAAAGATACCCAAACTATAAGGCAGATACTAACTTAGTAGAATATAATGAGATGTTAACCTCGTTAACTATTTAAGATCAATTGTGTCTAGTAACTATGTCTTGGGTCCAATTTCAAAATGTTACAGTAGGCCTAGACAGAAATTGAACCGGAAAGCTTTAGGCCTACTAGATTTGCTCTTGAATCATTTCAGCTTCCCTCTTGACAAAATGTTGAAAATATACAATCCTGATTGTGTGAAAATCAAATCCAAATTTAGGGATTGTTCTGACAATTTTATAATTAAAATAATTATATGTGTTACTAGCTTTAAGGCATACATAGATTGTGCCCTATAGAATATAGGAATAGAAAAGTCTTTTGATTTAACCTCAATAAAATATGGTTTTTGTGATTGGAAATTAAATTCTGAGTATTTGTCTCACAGGATTGAAGCTATGGCACAGAAGTCAGAAAATGAAGACAACATTGTTCACAGCGATATTAATGGGCTAAGGAATGACTTAAGTGCAGAGAACAAACATAACAACGACAAAGCAGCGCTTATACTGTATACCTCGGGCTCCACCGGCCCTCCTAAAGGTTAGTACTTAACAGTTATTTTGCGACTAAAACCAATCTTATCACTCAATAACATTAAAAACTCAACAAAATGCATACATTGCACATTGTAAAAAAAATGTAAATATAAAGTTGTTTGACTGCTGATGAAAACTAACAATGATTTTTTTAGATACAAACTCTTTGTGGCCAAAGTCTATTTTAGAAAATCTACATAGAGTTACAATTTATCCAGTTGCTCCTTCATACAAGTATAAAAATGCTAAGTTTAAAGAGAATGATGAGAAAGAGTTCATTTAGTGGGCTCAATAAAACCTTAACTAACTTGCTCAGGTAAAGTGTAATTATTGCATCCATCGTTAAATATAAAATGTTTATATCTGCCCTAAAAATGGATCTCATTAACAAAAATACTTTTAAGAACAAGTAAAAGTTTTCCAAAACATTGTCATTAAAAACAAAATTTTGGATGCCAATTTTAGTCTGACCATTTTTACACACTTTAAATGTTGTTTCCCTAGAAATTGCTCACTTGAAGCGTTTCTATTCTATAGATCTTAAGTTTTGGCCAACGAAATGGTAGTTTTCATCGCTAGGAGCGAAAGTGGCTCTTTTCGGTACGAAATCGGGTGGAAATATGATTAAGTACCAAAAAGACACTTCACTTTGTGTGATGAACAACTATTTTCATCATACTGTAAAAATGTCCTTCTAATCGTTACCAAATTAGGCTAAAACTGCATAATTTAAGGTTATAGGCTGCTTTCCGAACAGTATGATGAAAACTGTACTGTATTACATTCCACATTTCACAACAAGCTGAATTTTTTTTGCCCAATTTTCAACTTTTGCAATAACAGGCAGCGCAACATAGTCAAGGCAAACTCTTGTCTTCACTCGAAAAAGACCAGTGGGATCAGATAAAAATGTACCTTTTTTTAACAACACTCATATTAATCAACACACGAGTGCTGGAAACAGCACTATATGAAATGTGTATGTGTATGAATCATAGACATGTTGAAACTTGCAGGCGTAGTGTTGACGCACAGGAATCTACAGGCCCAAGTTTCCAGTCAGGTGGAGGCCTGGCAGTGGACTTCAGGAGATGTCGTTCTGCACAGTCTACCTCTACATCACATACACGGAGTTGTCAATGCCCTACTCACCCCTTTCATGGTTGGCGCCAAGTAAGCTGTATTGAAACTAAGTGTTCCTTAAAGATTATGAGGTCATTGTCAACCCCATTGTGCTTGTTTCAATAAAGTATTGGCCGTATTGATGAGGTAAATAGTACAACAATTCAGGTGTTGAATTGGTAAACCAAGACTTTCAAACCTATTAAGTGGTATGCATGTCGAAATAATTAGGAACACCTGATACAAAGAAAAAGGAAAAAAGTTAAAAACAATTTTTTGTCCTACAATAAAAAAAAGAAATTGTTTGGCTGGAATACTTTTTCAGTAATAATCGTTGTCCATCTGAAGTAAAGTTTTGACAATTACGTATGTTGGCAGTAACATCCTCACATCCTCGTATTCATGGCAGTAACTAAGTTCACACCTAGTTATTGAGGCTGTAACGCTGATTCAATTGGTTGGGAATGAAATTAATCTTCATATTGTATTATATTTATTGACCAACTGTTCAGTAACACTAAGTGTTTATTTCATTACAGGTGTGTGATGCACTCAGCGTTCAATCCGAGCGAGGTGTGGAACGAGTTTCTGGGCAAGAAAGAAGGTTCGACTGATCGTATTAGTGTCTTCATGGGTGTCCCGACCATGTACATCAACCTGCTGAATGAGTATGACCAATCCCTAACCAAGAATGAGAGGATGGTGGAGTATGTGAAAGCAACTTGCTCAGAGAAAATAAGGTACATCTTTATGTATTGTGGAAAGTATTAGTATTTAGGGTACTTTGGTATTATACCGACCACACCTAATAATTATAACCTAACTTATGGGTGGTTAGGTTAGGTTAGGAAGATTTTGTTATCAAAATCTTATTTTGTCAATTTATCGGTGTGGTTGGTATAATACCAAATACTGTATTTAGTTCTTCAAATATTTTTATTATCTTCAAGTTGAATTGCTCTTTGATGATTCTTCTAGGTAGTTTGTCCTTTGGAGGCTCCTAGATTCCCTTTTGAAGGCTATTCCTTTAAGATAACCCTCAGTGGTTCTTTCTGTTAGATAAGGCCTAGACCTTTGAGGGCCCTTCCTGAAAGACAGCCCTTTGTGGGTTCTTCCTGAAAGACAACCCTTTTGTAGGTTATTCCTGGTTGAATACCTTTGAGGGACCTTCCTGAAAGACAACCCTTTGTGGGTTCCTCCTGAAAGTTAACCCTTTGTGGGTTATTCCTGGTAGATTAAATTTGAAGGCTCTTTCTGAAAGATAACTCTTTGTGGGTTATTCTTGGTGGATTAAATTTGAGGGCTTTTCCTGAAAGATTACTCTTTGTGGGTTCTTCCTGAAAGATAACACTTAAAAGGCTCTTTCTAGCAAATTGATAGTAAACAAATAATACAAGAACTTGTCCTAAAAGGGTCTTACAACTTGAATAATCTTGGCCTTTTAGTGAACTGTCAATATTTCCACAATTATTTCCCTGAGTGGTCAATTATTCTAATTTTATTTCTCTGCCGAGCAGGCTGATGGTGAGTGGGTCGGCGCCTCTGCCCTCGCAAGTGTTTGATTGGTGGCAGATGGTGACAGGTCATGAGATCCTGGAGAGGTACGGCATGACAGAGATTGGCATGGCGTTGTCCAACCCGTTGCATGGCGAACGTAAACCTGGTGAGTTGTGTTAATGTCTGTGCCAGTGGCTTGTGTGGAAGAATCACTCTAAGTGGTCCAAACCACTCACTCTTATTGAATTGTATTGGTGCAGCCAAGGATGCTGGAAAGGCTTAAGACTCCTGGCTGGTATGGTGAGGGATGGATCTAGATTTTGTTGGTACGTTGATGTACAGCGTGTGGTAAAGTTTCCAAGTTGCTGAATGTGCTGGATGCTGGAATGTACCAATTATGTGGAATAACAAGGAAAAAGTTTAAATTACAACGTGAAACCCACACTTGCAATACCAGAATCAAAAATAACATTTACCAAAACATAATTTTGAAATGGTTTATGCCATGTCCTCATAAAAGTTTTGTCTCTGGTGTAAAGTTTTTTAAGCTTTCTAGAGGACCCGTGAGGCTCCGCAGCGTTGAAATTAATATCATATCCTAGAAATAATCAAATTTATCCTATATATAATACGAGTAAAGTTTGAATACTTTTCAACTCGATCTGGGAATCGGCTCTAACAAAAACGTTTATATTTACGGAATAACTAAGTTCTGTGTCAAAAATAAGTGCTAGACCAGAGGTATAGCCAGGAAAAATCTATTTTCGCCATAATATGAGTACAAACTTTTGAAAATTTAACATGGGCCTTATGAGAAAACATTCCGCCATTGTTGTCATTTTGTTTACATTTTAATACAAAACGTGACGTTCTGTACCCACGGGCACCTCAGCTTGCGCATGCTCAGAAAGCTCTTGAAGCACTTTCCGAGGATATGTAGCATATGTTTACACAGACCAAAGGAAATAAAAATGTGTATATACAGAGCAAAAGAAATGAACAATCAGATTATACCATTGAGCATATTATACTACAACTGGAAAACCAATTTCTGTCAATGTCGAGTACGGTAGTTAAATTAATGAGAGGATGGAATAATCTTTAATTAGCTTTAACTCATACAACTCCTTTTATATTTATTGGGTAGCAGATTTGTGCTTGATTTATTTTGATTAGATTAAGGTATCTGCAATCCTAAAATGCCATGGGAAGGGAGGAAAACAGGTCGGCGACTTAGGAAGAGGTGAAAAAAGTAGTCAAGGCGAGTAGTGCGAAGTGTAGGAACTGTTTATGACGATTAGATTAAGGTATTTTCAATCCTGAAATACTATGGGAAGGGAGGGAAACAGGTCCACGACATAGGAAGAGGCGAAGGAAGTAGTCAAGACGAGCTGTCCGGAGTGTGGGAACTGTTTGTGACGATTAGATTAAGTTATTTGCAATCTTAAAAAGCTATGGGAAGGGAGGAAAACAGGTTCGCGACGTAGGAAGTCGTGAAGGAAGTAGTCAAGGCGAGTAGTCCGGAGTGTGGGAACTGTTTATGGCGATTAGGTTAAGGTATCTGCAATCCTAAAATGCTATGGGAAGGGAGGAAACGGGTCCACGACGTAGGAAGTGGTGAAGGAAGTAGTCAAGACGAGCTGTCCGGAGTGTGGGAACTGTTTGCGACAATTAGATTAAGGTATTTCCAATCCTGAAATACTATGGGAAGGGAGGGAAACAGGTCCATGACGTAGGAAGTGGTGAAGGAAGTAGTCAAGGTGAGCTGCCTGGAGTGTGGGAACTGTTAATGGCGATTAGATTAATGTATTATCAATCCTAAAATGCTATGGGAGGGGAGGGAAACAGGTCCGCGACATAGGAAGTGGTGAAGGAAGTAGTAAAGGCGAGTAGTAGTCCAGGACCTGACTAGGGTTCTGTGTGCATGTCGTGTATAGAGAATTTTGCTTTTGCATTTCAATATAGGTGTATTAGGAAGTGTTTTCCACTCGGGTGTCAAGTTCGCACCTGGTACGTTTTCGAGCTATGACGTCATCAAGATGGCGGCTCGGCAATTTTTAAATGCGTATATTTCGCAAACCGTTTAACGGATCGGGATGATTCTTTTTTTGTTTGAAAGATATTTTTACAAGCAATCTTTTTTGTATTTACATATTTGTTGTAAACTTAATATTTACCGCACAATATTGAAAAACGTCGTTTTTATTGTTATTATATTTATTGTTATGCTTATAACTTCTTAACCGCTGATAAAATCAAATACCACCCATTGCAAAAGTTGCAGATAATTCTATACCCTTTCCAATGATATCAAACAATATGTGATTAGACCTAAAAATAAAGCAAAGAGATTGAATAAACCGTAAAAAACACTGAAAGTGGTGTACGGTCCGGGAAAGATTCAGTCCTGGACATGACTAGGGTTCTGTGTGCATGTCGTGTATAGAGAATTTTGCTTTTGCATTTCAATATAGGTGTCTTAGGAAGTGTTTTCCACTCGGGTGTCACGTCCGCGCCTGTTACGTTTTCCAGCTATGACGTCATCAAAATGGCGGCTAGGGCAAATTTTAAATGCGTATATTTCGCATACCGTTTAATGGATCGGGATGATTCTTTTTTTGTTTGAAAGATAATTTTACAGGAAATGTTTTTTGTATTTACACTTTTGTTGTCAACGTAATATTTATCTCACTATATTAAAAAACGTGGTTTTTAATATCATTGTTTTTGAATTTTTCCTCATAACTTGTTAAACGCTTATAGAATGAAATAACTACCTATTACAAAAGTTTTAGATAATTTTATGCCCTTTCCAACGATACCAAACAATTAATGTTTGAAACTAAAACTAAAGCCAAGAGATTAAATAAACCGTTAACTAACACTTAACATGGTAGAAAGTCCAAAAAATATTGCGGCTGGAACAATTCTTCAAATGCGAATATTTCGCATACTGGTTAACGAACCGGGATGATTCTTTTTTTGTTTGTAAGATATTTTTTAAGCCTATCTTTTTTGTATTTACACCTTTGTTGTTAACCTACTATTTGTCAAAAAGTTTTAAGCAAAAGTAAAATAAAAACAACAATTAAATGTACATTTATTAATATTGTGGGATAAATAGTAGGTTAACAACAAAAGTGTATATACAAAAAAGATAGGCTTAAAAAATATCTTACAAACAAAAAAAGAATCATCCCGGTTCATTAACCAGTATGCGAAATATACGCATTTGAAGAATTGTTCCAGCCGCAATATTTTTTGGACTTTCTACCATGTTAAGTGTTAGTTAACGGTTTATTTAATCTCTTGGCTTTAGTTTTAGTTTCAAACATTAATTGTTTGGTATCGTTGGAAAGGGCATAAAATTATCTAAAACTTTTGTAATAGGTAGTTATTTCATTCTATAAGCGTTTAACAAGTTATGAGGAAAAATTCAAAAACAATGATATTAAAAACCACGTTTTTTAATATAGTGAGATAAATATCACGTTGACAACAAAAGTGTAAATACAAAAAACATTTCCTGTAAAATTATCTTTCAAACAAAAAAAGAATCATCCCGATCCATTAAACGGTATGCGAAATATACGCATTTAAAATTTGCCCTAGCCGCCATTTTGATGACGTCATAGCTGGAAAACGTAACAGGCGCGGACTTGACACCCGAGTGGAAAACACTTCCTAAGACACCTATATTGAAATGCAAAAGCAAAATTCTCTATACACGACATGCACACAGAACCCTAGTCATGTCCAGGACTGAATCTTTCCCGGACCGTACACCACTTTCAGTGTTTTTTTACGGTTTATTCAATCTCTTTGCTTTATTTTTAGGTCTAATCACATATTGTTTGATATCATTGGAAAGGGTATAGAATTATCTGCAACTTTTGCAATGGGTGGTATTTGATTTTATCAGCGGTTAAGAAGTTATAAGCATAACAATAAATATAATAACAATAAAAACGAGGTTTTTCAATATTGTGCGGTAAATATTAAGTTTACAACAAATATGTAAATACAAAAAAGATTGCTTGTAAAAATATCTTTCAAACAAAAAAAGAATCATCCCGATCCGTTAAACGGTTTGCGAAATATACGCATTTAAAAATTGCCGAGCCGCCATCTTGATGACGTCATAGCTCGAAAACGTACCAGGTGCGAACTTGACACCCGAGTGGAAAACACTTCCTAATACACCTATATTGAAATGCAAAAGCAAAATTCTCTATACACGACATGCACACAGAACCCTAGTCAGGTCCTGGACTATAGCCTGGAGTGTGGGAACTGTTTATGACGATTAGATTAAGGTGCCTGCAATCCTGAAATGCTATGGAAAGGGTGGAAAACAGGTCCACTACGTAAGAAGTGGTGAAGGAAGTAGTAAGGCTAGCAGTGCAGAGTATGGGTCTGCTTAATTATGTATCTGCAATTCTAAGATGCAATGGGAAGGGGGAAACAGGTCCACGACGTTGGGAGTGGTGATGGAAGTAGTAAAGGCGAGCACTGCGGAGTTTGGGAATGGATTTATGTATCTGCAATACTAAGACTGCTTTCAGAGTAAACTAATGATTTTCCCCGAGCAAAGCTCGGTCCCCAGGTACTTTTTTTTTAATTGAGTAATACAGTATCTTGAACTTAAATAATTCAATCAATCTGTAGCTCAAATTAAAGTCTATAATTTACTGATTGTTTTGAGTCTACAAAATAAAAAAAAAACATTAGCAATACTGGAGCTATTGATTTTTAATCATACCTTATGAAAAATAATTTTTATGTTGGTTGTTCACCTTGCGTTGGCTTGAAACTCTTCCGATTTGAATAACTAATAGCTTTTTAAAACGAAAGCCGGTATTTCACTGAAGGTTCTTAGACCAAAATATATAAAATTATATAATTATAACTGGTAAAATTCATCTTTAATTGAACTAAGAATTCAAAAATAAATCAAATTTATGTTTTTTGGTCGAGTAATACAGTAAATATATATATGCCGATGCTTGGTGTGAAATCTGTGTGTGCATACTGCATAATCAATTTTAATTTGAATCATTTAAATCGGACAAGTAGAAGAGCCAAACGAATTAGCTAAAGAAAAATCATAGGCCGTAACTCCCATAAGAAATACATGGGGAGCAAATTTCGTTTACATATAAGCAGAGTGGGACTGTAGATTAATATATGCCGATGCTTGATGTGAAATCTGTGCGTGCATACCTTCAATGTGAGACCTCAATCATGAAAGCGCTCGGGTAGAAGAGACAAACAAACTCGGAAAAGAAAAACCAAATTTTTTAAATATATAAGATTACCAAATAAGCCAATGACATTAATAATTGAAAAACAGGCATTATACATTGAGACTATTTATTGTAACTTTTGTAAATAATATAAAGATAATTAAAATTGTAATTGCAGGTTTTGTCGGCTCCCCAATGCCTGGTGTGAGGGTGAGGATTGTACAGCAAAATGACATACCTAGTCAGACTGATGAAGTTTTATGTGAGGGGGATAACATCAAGACTCGTAACTTTACCAACGATTCTGCCGTCTCTGGCTTGCTACAGGTAGGTTAGCTATATACATTTCCTCTTTAATTTACTGACAAATTCTAATAAAAGTGTTTCAGACTTTCACGTTTTTATACTTCCCAGATATTTTTGTCCAATATTATTGGCTATGTTAATACCTCCCTAACTTTGTTCTTTGGTCATTATGTATTAAGTAATTCAAAATTGAAATTTAAGGGGTAACTGAATAAAATTTACTTTTACGAATTACATTCTAAAGCCTCGTTCACACGGTGCGTTTTTACAAGCTACACGCCGGCTTTTTTACACGCAGCTAGTAAAATAGCTCAGTGTGAACGGTGTACTCGCTCAAAAGCTGCTTGTAAAAAAGCTCTGAAAAAAGTTGACGCTGTTGCTACAACACGCCAACTTTTGAGCGAGTAGGCGTGTAAGTAGCCCAGTGTGAACACAGTTGCTTGTGCTTGTGCGTATGTTATTCAAAGATGTCGTGGGATTTGGTTCAAGCTAGCTGCTGAGCGAGTGGAAAAAGCATCGTGTGAACGACTACAAGCGCACTCGTTGGCGTCTTTCTACACGTCTGTGAGTTGGCGAGTGGACAAGCTGCATGTGAAAGAATACAAGCACACTCGCCAACACACTTCTTACTTGCTGGCGAGTAGCTTGTAAACTCACACCGTGTGAACGAGGCTTTAGCAATTGTGAAAAATAGTATATGTTATCATTAAATAAGCTACATGAACCCATACACAGCATTTCTAACATTTAATTCAAACAACTAATCTGGTAATTTACATTTGAAACTTGAACAGGTGAAGGGAGAAGGAGTGTTTTCCCAGTACTGGAACAAACCAGAATCCACGGCGACGGACTTTACCTCGGACGGCTGGTTCAAGACAGGTCTGCTTTTAGCATAGTGTAGTGTAGGTCTAGCTTTGAGAATGGGAGACAAATGTTTCTTATTTTTAACTTTTAATGGGCTATCCGAGAGCCTACAATCAGCTTTATCTAGTAAAATTTGAGACAATAATATGAAAAAGTTGTTCAAACATTTCTGGTCGTCTATTGTGCTTGATATTTAAATCCCAAAAGTTCTCAAAATCCAACAGAACTTTTTGATGCATCCATGATTTTTACTACTTGTAAATCTTTTGTTTTTATCAAGAGAAAATATTTTGTCTGAACTACAAGATATAAGTTTTTTGTTGAGTTTGAGCAAGGTTAGAATAGGTAACTGGGAGTTGTGCTAGTATTGTTTTATTTATTTACGAACTGCGCTGTCTGTTGACATCAGTATATCTTTCAGTATTATGATTATGTATGTATTCGTTATACAGTGAAATGAGTAAACAACACCATTTTTCACTGTAGAGTAGATTGTGCCTTATTTGCTTAGGCTATATTTTACACCCAAGGTATCCCTGATAATAACTTAGCAAGGATCCTGAAAATAAGTCCAGAAATCTTATTTTTGTTGGAAGTACTGGAGACAACCCTGTGTTAGTATTTCAATAATTAATTATCTTGGAAATGATGTATTAGAGGAACACTAGCTTAATAACAGCATTTGGTTAACTAGGATTTAAAAAGCTATCTAGAAATTTTATAGACCCTTTCACCTTTGACTATTGATACAAGCATTCCATCTCCAAGTTAAAGTTGTTGCCAGTTTTTTTATCAAAATCGTTGTAGTTGCTGAGAGCCACTGATTGCGCTGATCTAAATCATTACTAATTTCTGTCAAATACCCATTTTTTTACCAATTCAAACTAATGGAATGACTTATTGTGAGCTATAGCAACTATTATGACCCATCAACCTGGTCAGCAACAAGAAATAAGGTAGAACATTTAATTTTAGACACTAGCGCATTCTGTGCCTGGCTCACACAACTATGTTATTTTTTAATAAAAAATTGACCACAGCTGGTCCATATAGATCGGATGTCCACTTCAGTATCTGGTAGTCAACACAGTAATGGTATTAAAAATCTGGTGACATTTCTAGTGTTGTTTTGTTGCCAGGTGATATTGCAGAGTACATAGAAGGAAGTTACCGAATCCTGGGAAGGTCTTCAGTGGACATAATTAAAACAGGAGGGTACAAAGTGAGTGCTCTGCAGATAGAGTATGTCCTGCTCAACCATCCAGACATCATAGATGTTGCAGTGGTGGGCCTCCCCGACATCACTTGGGGCCAGAAGGTACAAACTAGTTAATTAGAAGAAAAGATCAGAGAAAGAGTGTTTGACTCAAAGTGTATTTGATGGTGTCAACAAGTTTTAGCCTGAAAACCGTTTTATTCAGAATAGGCCTAGTGGGTTGGGACATTACTTTTTAGATAATATCCATTAGTGTCTGGCGGGATTTGAACCTGGTCTACCACTAGACTAGCTCGCCACCCTGGTGTCTGCAATAGTAAATAAATATCTGCTATCGATGACTTGGATACCGGAATAGACATCCAGGGCCGTAGCCAGCTTTGGCAGGCCCAGGTAAAGATATTAAGCCGGGCCCTCTTGGAGCCCGGGCCCCGGTAAAATTGTCCAGAATAACCGGTTTGAGTACAGCCATATAGACATCCCATCTATAGACCAACTGTTAAATACATTCTGCTATTACTTTGATGTGATGGATAAATGAGTTTAAGGTGATTTAAGTTGTATAGCTTAGCTGATTGTATATATAGTGCTCGTAAGGTTTATGGTTTGATCCTAAGAAAAGTCATAAACTCTTTGATCATTTGAAACTGGACCCTGGCTCTTGATAAGTGCTCTTGATCAGAGTCGGAATCAAAGCTATTGTCTCATCCATTCAACAATTTGTTCTTTCACTATTCATGTAGCGTATTAATTATATAGATTCTATTCTTTAAAATTTTTTCCTTGGAGTGTCGGCGTTGTAAAAATTGAATCTAATGGAAGTTTGTGCGGCAATAAAATTTAATAACTAACTAGAAATTCATTCTAGTCTGATTTTAATAATTATTGCACTTTTTGTTTCAGATTGCTGCTGTCGTCCAACTAAAGGAAGGTTCGTCTTTGGATTTGAAACAAGTGCAACATTTTGTAAAAGAAAGACTGCCTGTTTACATGATGCCAAGTATGCTTAAAGTTGTCGATAGCATTCCAAGAAATGCCTTAGGAAAAGTAAACAAAAAAGAAATTGTCACAAACTTATTCAATAGGACAGCGGTTTAGACTGTACTTACTTAAATGTGTAATATTTTCCAACTCAAAATGATATTGAAAGTTAAAACTAATAATTTGTTCAACTAAATTCTTTTTAGTACTGAATCTATTGGTCTGATTGTATATTACCAGTTGAGTAGACCAGAACTTTTGATCAGTGTCTCATATTTTTAATTAAATGTTACGACTATTAAGCTGAGAACTTTGTAGATAGTAAGACTGATTGTAAATACCAATAATGAACAAAAGTAATTTCCTCAATATTAAGACTAAATTGAGAATTTGACTGTTTTGTTAAGACTGAAGAATGGATTGTAAAATATATTGTTGTTGAATACAAATTTTGTAATCAAGAAATGTATTAACGATTATTTGCCTTTGCTTCCTTTAGTTAGTAAGATGAAAAGAGAAATAAAGGAATTGATCCACGGAAAGTTGGAGAAAAGCTTTGTGTTACAAGGGTTTTGGTATGAGCTCACCATATTTTGGTGAGTTCTGTTGTCTTTAAAGCGTAAAAGACATTGGAGTAAAAAAGACGAGGGTAAACCATTTCTTAGAATTTTGAAGCTGTGGAAATAGTAGAGTAAAAGAAACTTTGTGGCAGAGTGCCAAAAGGAAGTTGATTTCTCTGAAACTTGAGAACAACATAGGTTATTCATTAATATCGTAGAGGAGTAAGGTACAGAAGAAACATTAATTGTTGTACCTTAGTTGTATGTAGGACAAAGGTCCAACACCTCTTTTCTAACAAACCTCATTTAACCGAACAAACGATCTAATAATAAACAATAGTTCATCCCCTGGCTACATAACCAAAAAGTAAAGCATGCCTCACTAGAAAAACAGGCCATGCTGCAGGATCCATGACCCACACTTGTGGATAGATTCACTGCCATATCCCATATGTTTTAGGTAAATAATTTGACTGTCATATTTTAACGGAAAGATTTAGTATGAATACATGTTTTTGTATAGAGAATGAGAATGTTTCTCTTAATACTTGTCCCAAAGTTTAGAAAGTATGGATTTGTTTGTCGAAATAGGTGGATAACTCTTGTAGCCATAAGACGTGGATAGCAATTTTCATTTTCTCTTTTTGAACAGCGTATATTATCTCCTGAATCATAAAAATAAACTTGACCGTTAAATAAACTAAAAAATAACTTAAAATAAACTACCCGATCATTACCATGTAGTATTGTTAACAAAAACGGCTTCACTTATTATGTAGAAATGTCATCACTAGGGCGTAACGCGACTCTTTTAGCGAATTTCCCATATAGGGAATAAGCTATTACCGTAGGTCTCATGGTAAGACCTGGACCCGGGACCGATTTACTTTTTCCTTTTGAGGTCCCTAGAGGCCAAAAACACCATCCGTGCAAATTCATATATATGTATATATATATATATTTATATATATATGTGTGTGTGTGGATGTGTACAGAGCTAGGGACTACACCTGTGGTCCGATTTCGATGAAATTTGGTGTGTAGAATCCGAGGATCATCGCAGCGACCGCCCACCGGTGTTAGTGAGTGACAGGGACCATAAAACTCTAATCCATAGTATCTCTAGGCGTTTTTTTTTTTCATTTTTTAGAAATTTAGATTTTAACGTTGATTTTCCAATACTGAAAAACGTATGACTTATGATTTATTTAGACGTATGATTTATGAAAACCCAAGTTGATGGCGGACGAATTAAACATCCATCCTACATTAATCTGTGTGCAAAAACTCGCCTATAAGAATAACTTGGAGGGCTCCGGGTCTTATCCCGCGGCGAGGGAGGGTCTGGGAGGATGAGCTGTCTTGCAACATTACAGTCTTATCATTAAAAAACCTATAAAATCTGAGTTTCTCAAAAATGGCATAACGATTTTGATAAAAATGAGTATGTTTTAGCCCTTTAAATTCTGAACAAAATGGCACTACTCCCATTTCTGTAAAAATTACGGTTCAAAAGTTATTGTAACTTATGTTATCCCCCCCCCAAAAAAAAAAACATAAAATAACAAAAAAAATCGTTTTTTGGAGAAAAGCTGGTTTTGATCGAAATAAATATGTTTATGTTATGGTCCTTATACTAAAAAAATAGTACAGCACCCCATTGCTGTAACAATTACATTCAAAAGTTATTGCAACTTTTGTGATTTCTAACTATAAAATATCATATTTACTCTTACCGCTTACCCATGATAAAAGTTGTTGATGAGCTTATGGGAGAAAGTATGTGTCAGAATGCTCGTACAGAAAATGTTTGACTTCGACGAAAATTACCCTTATGACATAACAAATCAAGTAACAAGCCAATCGTCGAACTCAGTTGAGAGAAGCGACTCTCGGCTTTTCAAACAAATATGTGAACGAGATGTAATACTTTACATCTCGTTAATAGATCGTTTCACCACAGCCAATATGGAGTGTGGTGGTATGTTATTTTTGGCTATTAGTACAAAGCTCGTACCACAAACACAGGCGAGAACTTAACTAATGTTTAGAATAAATTTCATTCTCTAACAAATTTATCTATTATACAACCTATTCGACTAAATGAAGTATTTGTTTAGGTTGACTTTTACTGCAGATAATCAGTGAAAGATTGGTATTTAATGTGTTTAATTATTTATTAAAAACACATCCAGTGCAGTGAAGTGTGGTGGTGACATACAGCGCTACCTGTTGGTGCAGCAGTGAACTTCGTACTGCTTTACCGACAACATAGAATATTCACACGACCTGACGAATCATGGCATAATAAAATTTACTATGTAAGCAATATTTTGTGTTACATTGGCGGTTTTATTATGCAGATGATTGATAGCTAAACCATAGACAAATATATTTAAATACAGTATAGATAGATACCTTACTGCTGCGGTTAGCATAAGTTCTGGCATTCGTCGCTAGGAGTGCCATGGGAGTAACCATTTTGAAAATCAAAATCACTCAAAGTTTTGCCATTGGAAGGGAGAATCATTTGGAAAGGGGAGTTTGTTGTTCAGTCACTAGTTTTTTACCTTTTTATCACTTGAAATGTAGGCATACACTTTCAAACGATTTAGAATTAGAATTTCCAGCTTCATAAACATTTCGAAAGAATTAAACTTTGCAGCTCTGTACACCAACATTGCAATCCCTTTATGCAAACCAGTAGAATATTTTGTCTTTCGATTCAAGAGGATTCCAAATTGAACGGCCACTCTGTGATAATTCAAGTGATAAATTGGTTAAAGCTGTCCCAGAATTATTATAGAAATTTGCGACGAGAGCACATTGTTATTAGTGTTGAATACCATGGATATTTCTTATCAATTTATGTTTTTCTGTTAGTTTTAGCGAATTCACCTTCTAGGCCATCGGAGTAATCACCGGCATCAAATTAGGAAAATGTAGATCCGGTTAAAAATCTGCCTTTCGACACTCCCTGCTCTGTGTCTGTACATTTACCACGTTTGTCAAAAACAACCTACGTTTATTTCAAAACTGAACAAAAAACTCGTAATTATAATAAAGATTAACAGACAACTTTTGGTGAATCCAAACCACAGATTAGAGTTGTTTCTAAATGTACCCTATTATCAGTGCATACAAGTTTACAAAAAAAATATTTATTTTTTTTACATGCGTGTCTTTGAATGTCAACAAATAAAAAAAATGAAAATTGATCGAGCTTTTCCTCTACGACAATGGAGTTATTTATATCCTTTTGACTGTAATATCACGTTTTAATATTTCTGTTCTTTCCGTAGATTATTACAAATTCATCACATAATTTGTATTGACATGGGACATTTTCATTGGTAATCTTCAACTACTCTAATATGAAGTTTGTTGATGAATAAATTTAATATCATCAAGTATAACACTTTTATTGTTTGGGCTTCTCGCTCAAAACTTTTGACTTTTGACTGTTGAAATCCCGCTTTTCTCAACTATGGTGTTACTTGTTTAGCGAAGTGGATATTGCAGTACGATATAGTGATGAAGATGAAGGAATGACGTAATATAGTAGCGGATGACCGAATAAGGACAATACGTCATTCAATTAGTATTAATTGATGAGCGCCTACTAACTTCTGACATTGACTCAAAGCTGTATGTGTAGCTAAATTGTATCACAACTTATGCAGATGCCAGTATAAATCCGGAGCGGCGCTATAATGTTTAGGTAATGTCTGGCTTTTAGCTGATTATAAACATTTATTTTACTAGCCTATCTCAAACTTCATTTATGCATATTTTATTCTAACTAGTAGTTTTGCCCGTGCTTTTACCACTTGCACCTCTCGACCGTTATAAGTTCTCGACTTTGTCTCGATCTTAAAAAATATCTCGAACCGGCAAAACCTCATTTTCGGCCCTAGGTACGAAATATACTATTAGTTTAATGAATATCTTGTGTACTTTCTGCAAAGTGTCACTGAACTGTTTATGATTTAAGTTGTTTACAAAATGTTGACCGTTAGTATATTTTATGACTAGGTGTACAATGCAGTTGTCTGCTTGCAATATTGAGCGGAGCTTGCATATTAATCCAATACTTCTCTAAAGTCAATGGCACATCTGTTCCTCGTAAATGAGATAAAATACTACTTGCAGTATCCTATGTCAATGGTATAATTGGTTCACATAAATGGAATTATTATTTGCTTCACTAAAACTTCATCACTCCGTAACGAAAGTGACCATTTTCAATAACAGCTGACATCAATGAAAGTAGTCGTTTCCCAAGCTATAATTTAGAGCGAGGGAAAATCGATCAGCTGATTTTCCCTCGCTCTAAATTTACTTTCCCTCGCTCTCAATTAGTTCTCCATTTATTCACTACGCGCGCTAGTGTTTTGTTACGGTTTAATTTAATGATTTGAATCAGCTGTATGTATTTTTAAAAGTTGTTTTATTCTTTTATTTTCATGTTTAAACAACATTGATTGAGAAATATACGTAGGATCCCATTTAGAAGATTTTATTTTGATGTTCAATCAAATTAATTGAGAAATAAAATAGTTTTAATATTACTGTGGTCTGCTGATAATCTGTGTTTGTGTATTTATGCGTCGTGATGAAAAGTATCGTTCATAACTCGTACCGAAGGTTATTATCCGGCACTTGCTCCATTATTCCCGTCCTCGGCTTCGCCTCGTACGTGAAAATAGCTCTAACATACTCGGCTTCGCCTCGCACGTGAAATTGGGGTTCCCTGTGTTCGGCTTCGCTTCACACAAAAACTTGAGCCCGCGCCGGAAAATGCCACTTTCGGTCCTAGTAACGAAATATACTATTACATGATTTACCTTTATCTCCCTTACATACATTTTTCTTTATTTTTGACATTTTAAATTTCAATCTTGA